ATGTTGATGATAATAATTACCAAGGAGACAGTCCAGAAAGGTGTATGAGAAAAGAAAAAGGAATTAACCCGAAGAATGTGAAGAGTAAAGATTAAAGAATGAGATACTTCAAAATGCTGAAAGGGGCTCTCCGGAAAAAGAAGAGAGAGAATAATATGCAGTGGGGGGTACACAGTGTCGGAGCAGACAGGGAAAAAAGGCTGGGGGCGATGTGGATTGCTTTATTCAGTTATTCGCGGCAAAAGAAACACTCTTGCGTATTTGTCATGCCAAATTTGGATTCTTTATTTCTCTTTTTCTCTCCTCTCCCTCCCCCCTGTCACTCTACCAACCCTTGTGAAAATGTAATCTCTCTGACTGCTCATCAATATTGTCAATGTTTACCGGCAAAAAAATATGTATTATAAATAATTTTAAACTAGAAAAATTGCAATAATGTCTCACTTAAAAAAATTAAATATAAAAAGATCTCCTAAATATCAAATTATTCTGAAGTCTTAAAGAACCTCATTACAAAGAATTTATTTATTTAATTATCAAATTACTTTTTTTTAATATATATTGATAACTGAAAAAACAATAGTTAACAACTTAATATGTAAGGATTAACAACTATCACGATAGATATTAACACCTCATGTTTTTTTTTGTAATGTATTGAGAAAATGTGTTGTTAATACCTGACGTGATAATTGTTAATTGTTACACTTTAAATTGTTAATAATTACACTTTCAGTTATCAATGTATGTGCTTGAAGAGAAATAAGGACAATTTAGTAATTAAACAAATAAATTCTCTTACAATAAGGTTTCTTAAAACTTCATAATAATTTGATGATTTTAAGATTTTTTTTATATTTAATTATCTTGGATAAGACTTTATTACAATTTTTTCTTTTAAATTTTGTATCATACTCAAAAAAAAATGTGGGCTTGAATTAGAAACACCATGAAGAAGTAGCAGCCCCAAAAAGGAGACAAAATTTGCCAGAAAAGGTAAGATACGATGCTAAAAAACGTATTTGGATTTTTTTTTTTAATTCACTTACTTCTTTCTTTCTTTTTTCAGAAAATTAATATACAAGTCCATGTAGTTTTACCTGACTTCTAATGAGGTATTTGGGTGTTCTCTTCTGCATCCTTCACCTGATTAAAATATGTGGAAATCAGTTGAAACTACAAGAATATAATAAAAAATTGTAGGAACTTTATTAAAACTCAGGTAAAACTACATGTAGACATGCTATAAAAAAAACTACATAAACCTCATTAAAAATCAAGTGAAGCTAGAGAGACTTGTTAATTTTTTTATTTTCTATTTTTGTTATTAATTGCGATGAAGAGATTGACTTTAACTGGAGTTACAGGAAAAGACTTTAAAGTGAAAAGGTTTCTACTTCTTGAATAGAAGTAAACAGAATATACACCCTACAATTTTGATAAGAGGTAAGTAATTTTGATTTCTTGTTCCCAAAGTTTCGAGCTTCACTTTCATCATAAGAAAACTTTTTCTCCGACCTTTACATAGATGTTCAATTTTCATTCATCCATCAACATAATTATTCCTGCTCCATTGCAGGATATGAGAATCCAAACCATTTATTTTTGTTATTATTGCGTTGTACTAATCCTAAAGATGTTTGCATGAGTTTCAATTATATATACTCCAATTCTTAATACTAACCCCGGTCCTTAATATAAGAACTCGTTTGATTTTTATTTTGATTCTAAATGTAAAACTCCAATTCACTTTGTCCCTCATATTTATCTATTTTTTTAAAGTAGTACTTGTAATAATGATAGTTCTAGTTAATACACATGATTAGCAAAAATATTTTACGAAAGACAATACCTATTTATTACAAATAACTAATTTAACTAGTTTTTTAAATCTATTTAAATTAGTTAACTAGTTCTTATATTAAGGATATGAGATAGTATAACAATTAGACATGAATGATTTCGTTTGGTTATATACTCATTTTTTTTTCCAACAAATACTCAATCCATTTTGGCGTTCAAAATATAAAATTTTTTCATAACTTTTCCTAAAAAATAAAAATTGCATGTATTAGAGGAATTTTTCATCAAGAAAGTAATTTTTATGAAAATAATTAAAAAGGTTTTTAAGAAAAATCAACACAAATCTTTAATGAATAACTAATTTAATTAATTTTTGTAGTCACTGCGAATCAATTATCCAACTTATACATTTAATATCGTAGTGCTTTACATCAAGTGAACTGTTTTCTTATAAATTGGGCGTTTTCTAAAAGAGAAATTGCAAAAAAAGACATTGGAATTGTGAAAACGCAGATATGAACCATTGATAACTTCATTGAGTTTTGATAATTTCATGACATATTATTATTATCAAAAGCTATAGTGAAGTTGTCAATGGCCCTTATTTGCGTTTTTACAATTTCAAGATTTTTTTTTTGCAAGTTTCCCTTTTTTAAATTACACTGTCAATAATTGTAAAAATTGAAAATTCTGTGCGTCACATAGATCACCGTCATTAATAAGCACCATTTTTTCAAAAACCGTTTTCAAATTGCAACTCCGAGAACTTGTAGAGCATCGAACAAAGTTGATAAAAATTCCATAATCGTGTCCACATCATCATTTTTTTCTTGAATAATTTAAAAATTAAAGCAAGCAAGCAGGCTATTTTTCATATATATTATATATATATATATATGTCATTTTATTTTGTAGGATATACGCATTTTGAACTATCTAATCTCTAATGATGATTAGAATCTTTAAAAATAATTTTTTAATCATAATTTATGATTTACAAGATAAATATATAAAAACATTTTATCTTAGTTTATACGAACGTGCTTATAACATGACATTTCATTTTGTAGGTTATATCAGTACACACAATATAATGAATGAATATTTACCACATAAATATGATGAAGCTAATAAATCAAAAATATACCCTACAAAATCATGAGTCTAACTTTTGAACAATGTGTGTTGGTAGCATTTTCAAGGGATCTTCATTATGAATTCATGGTCTTAAAAAAAAGATATGGGAACTTTGAAATACTACATCCGATCTTTAATAAAAGAGTTCATTTAAATTTTATTTTAGTTTTAAATATAAAATCTCAATTCACTTTGTTTCGTTTTCATATTTATCTATTTTTTCTCAAGATAATCCTTATAATAATAGTATATGCCAATATATTTGATTAGTAAAGATGTTTTAAAAGATAATATCTATTCATTATAAATAACTAATTTAATTAATTTTTTTAATCTATTCAAATTAGTTAATTAATTTTTATATTAACGACCAGTCAAGCTAGCTATATGACTCTCTGTTTTTAGTTGTTGACTGATGAGAAAAAGACATCTCGTAGCGGGGAAAATCGATGGGCTTTTCAAGAGGCGGGCGCGAGCCGAGTTCATATTTCCTTTGCGTGAACAGCTAAAACGTTGTTTTTTTTTTTTTTTTTTTTATAAAAAAAACCATAATCAGTGTTTTTGGGGCCAATATCTTTTATCTTGAGTACGTGTCGATGAAGTTTTAAATATTCTTTATCTGGTTAGATACTTGAATACATAATCTTTGTCATTAATATTATAAAGATATTTAGATTCAACTTTTTATATTACGATTTCCATAGTAAAATTATTATTATTATTATAATACAAGTTCACTATGATAAAATGATCACTTTGCAATCACGTGATCTTTTAAATATTACATATCAGTGTTATCAAAAAAATACGGTAACTATAAATATAAAGATATATCAATCATGATTTGCTATCAATATTCTCTTTAGCCAAATCAGATTTTAATTCTTATTTTATAATAGAGTTATGCAACTCTTTTATCTTTTACTACTATCTATATAAAAGGAGATTACGGCTAAAATTCTGAATTATGGATTTCATTCCTATTCTGAGCCAAGGAAATTAAATTCTGTAATCAATTTTAAAATAAAATATACTCTAATCACCTTTTTTTCTTAATTACATAAACTTTGCCTCTATTTTGAAAACATACATTTTAATCCAAACTAGTAATACATTGTTAATTAAAGAATATTCTAAAAATATTCTTAAAGTATATTTCTTAATTAAAAATCATAATAGAATAAATACTGCTTACTAATTTATCTTTAACTTTATATAAGGTTTTATTTTGATCGCTTACCTTTAAAAAGTAAACTTTTAGTCATCTAACCCTAGAGTCGTTAACAAAAAATGATGATATCAAACTTTTGAATATTAATAACATAATACTAAATACTATAATATTAAGTTTAATTTTTAAAACAACTATGATTGTTTAAAAAAAATTATCATTTAAAACTAATAATTTTAGGGTTAAAAGATTAAAAGTATACTTTTTAAGTTAAGTGATCAAACTGAAACTTTACATAAAGTTAAAGGACTAAATGTATAATTTATCCTGTATTAAAACTATTTACTTATACTGATATGACCGATTAAACGATTATTTTCAATGCACTTAAACAATTAGGATAGTTGGAAGAATTTTAAAATTTCAAACCACTCAATTATATTGTTTCTCTTAATAAGCATGCACAAGGTGAAAATAACTTATATTTAAAACGAAGAAAGCATTTGATTTTCCTTTGTCTTAGTAAGTTTAGAAAGTTTTGGTTGTGTTGCGATTAATTAATGTCAAATGCTCTTCTTTCCCGATTACGTTGTTAAGTTATGTTCTAATAAATTTCAAATTACAATTACAATTCTATCTATGTATGGCTGATGGAACTTAACCAATTAATACTTGTCGCAAATAGGCAAAAAAAGAAAAATCATCTGGGAAAAAGTAAAATAGAGTTTTGAATTTTCAGATAATCAATAGGTCAAATATAGCCAGAAACATCTCGTATTAAAAATCTACCCTTCATCACATTCTATGTAATAAATCTAAAATGACAAGGATTATTTTCCACCAAAATAGTCAAATAAAAAGAAAATTTGCATTATAATAAAATTAACCTTTAGAATAAAGGTTCTTCAAGGTGAATGTTGCCAATTGGTACGAGACTTTCCACGTGATTGAAAACATCATCATAGAATCCAGGGATCATAGAAATCCTACCCTCATTAATACTAATGATCTCAGTAAAAGATTGACAAACCCTTTGTTTATCATTCTCCATTTCGCTGCCACTTCCATTCGTAGGTATGGGCTTTTCATCAGAAAAGAAGACAAAGTTATTCCTCCAAATGGTCATAGGAATCATTGTCGTGCCTGAGCAAATATCGCTAGGAAATTTTCCAGTCCAACTCCATCTTCCTGTTGATGAACTTATACCGTCCTCTTCCTCTAATACCCACAAATCGATCCAAGAATGTAAATGACCAATTGTAGGGACACGAATTATAGCAAGTTTATTATTATGCACAGATAGATCGCAATAATGTCCACGACAAAATACTTGAGGAGGCCATGGTATCGCTGTAAACACTTCCGTCGCTATGTCAAATGAAAGAATGAAATAACCTTGTTCCTTGCCCCCCACTTTTCCTCGTAGAGTTCGCCAAAACATACGTCCATTGACAGTGACCCAATCACCATTGGGACGTACACCCTTTAAGTTCTCAGTTCCTATTTCCTTCCACGAATCTGTGCTTAAGGAATAGACTTCAATCGGGCTACCATAATGGATGGTAACATGTATTTGCACTATCTTATAATCATTAACAATTGGGCTAAACCCAAATCCAATGCAATCCCACTCAGTAGTTTCATAAGTTCTGGTTCTAGGGATTTGTTTAACCTCTCCAGTGGCAGGATTCCACAACAAAATGGATTTGCGGAAATTGCGTGAGGCAGATCTATCGTAGTACTGATTGATTTCAGCACAAACCAAACCATTACAGGAACCGACGATCTTAACGTTCAACTTGGAATCGAGTAGTGAAGGTGGGATTTGAAGTTCACGAACATGCATCTCAGAATCCATCAAACGTAGCTGCAAAGGTCTTGAAGTTCCATTCTGTCTGCAAGGAAGAACTGAAGGAGGGTATGGATGAGGATATCTCCAAAGAAGAAGTGAAGGGTATTGATGAGTAGAGCGACGGAGGTGATCATCGACGAAAGATGGACGCTTGATGAGATTTTTCCATTTTTTGGAGACGCATTGAAATCTGATTAGGGATTTCACCGGAAGTCGTATGAGAATTCCTCTGATGATTTCTTCGGGAAAATATGGCGTCTCGCCATCCATTAACCTCTGCTTCGTGGTGGTCGGAAATCTATCAAAAGAAAGTAAAAGGAATTAGAGGATGAAAATCAAAGCTATATAACTACGTATGTGTGTGCGTGTGTGCGCTTTCAGTTGTCGGCTGAGAAGAAGAAACCTCGCAGATGAAAGATCGATGGGGTCTTTGGGGCGAGCCAAGTTTATATGAATTTCCATTCCGTAAAAAGTGGAAACTGTTACGAAAATGAGAAATATGAGCAAGATTTGGAATGAAAGATATGAGTAAGATAAGAGAGAAATTGAGATACAATATCATTCTCTTATTTTCTTGTCTACTTCTCTTCTCCAATCTACGTTAATTTTATAACAGAAACTAATTTTTAATGATAAATAAGTGTTTTTGGGGCCTATATCTTAATTTTAATGAAGTTTTAAATGCTCTCCCTCTAGATAAATATTTAAATACATAGTGTTTGCCATTATCACTGAGATTTAATTTTTTAGTTAATTTGTACTAATTGCAAATCTATATTCTAATATTATTGGCCAAAAAATAATCTATCGTCTAATTATTATATAGGTTCAGTAATCAGTATCTCTTGATTTTTTTTTCCTGCCATCGGAGTATCTCTTGAAATTGAAGTATTGTAATCATGTGATCTTTTAAATATTATATATCTTATCAAAAAAATTACATCTATAAAAAATTAATATAATATTAACGATTTCCTATCGTTATTACCTTTAATGAAATTAGATTTTTATTCTAATTTTATAAGGTAGAAAGTAGAAACTATATAAAAGGGCAGATTACGGCTATAATTATATGCTTTTGAGTTTTGAGTTTCGAGTTTCATTCCTATGATTCTGAGTTTGGAAATTAATTTTATCAACTACTATTTATCAGCGGTAAAAAGCTCCAAGCTTTACCATTTTATATTGATTGACCATATATTAATTGATGTTATTTAACCAATCATACGTTAATGATATGATGATATTGATAATTTATGCTGGGGATTTTATAAGGTGACATGGCAACTAATTAATTAATTTTCAAACCTGCTTTTTATTTCATTTTATCAATAATAATTATTATCTCAACTACAGCAGCTCATTATCCGTTGCGGGTCAAAAAAAAAAAAAAAAGCAGCTTGTTGTCCATTAACTTACCTAACAATCCAAAACAATTGGATAAATTAATTTATCGTATTGAAAGTTCGAATATTTATGGATATGAAGAGTGTGTGAGTTTTATCTCTTAAGGGCTATATTTAGGTGAAGTTACTTATATCAATTATATATGTTTAATTCTCTAATCACATATAGTTAGTCATGTATTTTATTTTTTTAATTATTAGCATTTAATATCATTTAATTATAAACCCATATAGAAAGATATAAAATATATAATCATATGTGATTAGAGAACTTAACATAATAAATATACTTAAGGAAAAATTGCAATAACACCCCATCTAAGAGAATTGAATACAAAAAAAGTCCTTTGAAATTTTAAAGTCACAAGAGACCTCATTGCAAGATATTTCATTTATTTAATTATCAAATTGCTCTTTTTTTTTAAAGTATGTATTAACAACTGAAAGTATAGTAACTAACAACTTAAGGTGTAATAATTAATAACTATCATAACAAATATTAACAACTTATGTATTACATTTTTGTGATGAGTTGAGAAAATATGTTATTAATACCTGCTGCAATAGTTGTTAATCCTTATACAAGACTACTCTTTCAATTATCAATATATACTTAAAAAAGATAATTTGTTAATTAAATAAATAAAATTTATTACAATTAGGTCCCTTAGGATTTCATAATAATTTGATAATTTCAAAAAATCTTTTTGTATTTAATTCTTTTGGGTAAGACCTTATTGCAATATTTCCTATAATTAACTTCACCTAAATATTTTCCTTACCTATATTAATATGACCAATTTAAACAATTTGTATCGTTGGGAAAAATTTAAAATTTCCAACTACTCAATTGTTTCTCTTAATAAGCACGCATAAGGTAAAAATAACTTATATTTAAAATGAAGAAAGCATTTGATTTTCCTTTATCTTAGTGTATTTTGAAAATTTTGATTGTCTTGTAGTTAATTAATGCCAGATATTCTTCTGTCTGGATTTCGTTGTTTTTTATGTTCTAATAAGCCACAGCTAATAAATCTAGTAGTGTAATTTTGATGGTTAAAAATATGGATCTCTAGAAGAAAGATAATAGAGTACAAATCTTGGAATCACTCAACAACTTTTTAACAATAAGAGTTAATAAATTTCAAATTACAACTCTATCTACGTGTCGATAGAAGTAAACCAATTAATACTTGTCGAAAATAGCCAAAAAAAATCATGTGGAAAAAAAATTACATTTTTGAATTTGCAGAATGCAATCTGATATAATCAATAGGTCAAATATAGCCAGAAACAACTCGTACTAAAAAAATCTACCCTTCATATCATTCTATATAACACATCTAAATGGCATCAAAATTTATATCACTAATCCAAACTGGCAAGGATATGGATTATTTTCCACCAAAATGTTTAAATGAAAAGCAAATTTGCAATGTAATAAAATTCAGCTTTAAAATCATCAAGGCTCTTCAAAGTGAATGTTGCCAACTGGTACAAGACTTTCTACATGATTGAGAGCCCAACTACCATAGCATTGAGGGATCTCAAATATCTTGCCCTCATTAGTAATGATGCTTAAGGAAAATCGATTCTCCATTTCGCCGCCGCTTTCATTTGTAAGGCTAGGCTCCCTAATACAAAAGAAGACAAATTTGTTCCCCCACATGGTCCGAGGAACGTCAAACTTGGCTGGACATGGATTGCTAGTATATATTTTAGTCCAAATCCATCTTTCTGTCGATGAACTTGTGCCCTTCTCCTCTAACACCCACAAGTGGATCAAAGAATATAAATACTTTGGAGGGCGACCGACTCTAGGCACATAAATTATAGCAAGCTTGTTATCATCATAAGCAGACAAAGTGAATTCAAAGCCTCCTGAAACATCTAATTGAGGAGGTCCTGGTATCACTGTAAAAACTTCCAAAGCTATGTCAAATGAAAGTATCAAACAAGTACGATATACGCCATCCTCTTTATCCTCTGGAGTTGCAGCATCCCAAAAGATACGTCCATTGACAGTGACCCAATTACAAATAATATCAGAAGGACTTACACCCTTTAAGCTCTCAGATTCTATTTCCTTCCACGAACCTATGCTTAATGAATACACTTCAATCACCATATCCCCATCATACCCATCATATATTTGCACTATTTTATAATCGTTAACAATCGTACTGAACCCAAATCCGACGTAAACCGACTCATAAGGATGTTTAGAGCTTCTGGTTGTAGGGATTTTTCTAACATCCCCAGTAGCAGGATTCCACAACAAAAAGGATGCGGAGGAGGCAGATTTATCATACCCATCGATTTCAGCACAAACCAATCCATTACAGGAACCAACGATACTAAATGTCAATAAGGAACGGAGTGGTAAAGGTGGGTTTTGAACTTCACGAACGTGCATCTCAGAATCCATCAAACGTAACTGCAAAGGTTTAAAACGTCCATTACTTTTCCTAAGAAGAAGTGAAGGGTTTTGATGAGTCGAGTAATGGAGGTGTTCGTCGATGAAAGACGGCGACTTGATGAGATTTTTCCAGCGTTCGGAGACACATTGAAATCTGATTAGGGATTTCACCGGAAGTCGTTTCAGAATTTGTCTGATGATTTCTTCGTGAAGATATGGCGCCGCCGTGTCGCCACCCGCTATCCTCTGCTTCATGGTGTTCGACTTGGAAATCTACCAGAGGCTGAAAATCAGAAAGCTATATAACTATATATATGCTTTGAGTTGCCAATCGGCTGAGAATGAAGAAGAAATCTCGCGGAGGAAAGATCGATGGGAAATGGAAACGTATTTTCAACGATAAATCACTGTTTTAATCTTTATCTTAATGAGCATCTGCTGGGGAATATGGAAAGCTAGGTGCAAGTTCATGTTTGAACATGTGGATACTGATGCCTTTTTGTGTGTTGCAGGAGCTCTGAGGTTGGTTAGAGATCACTGGGAAGCGACAGAAAGGAAGAGAAATATTATAACAGTGAAACAGGATTTTGATCGTCAACTAATTTGGAAAAGACCAATGACAGGGACAGTAAAAGTGAACATAGATGCTGCTTATTGTGCAAAAACAAGGAAGGCTGCCATTGGTTTGATCAGTAGGGATTGGGCTGGTAGATTTTTGGGAGGAATTGGGAGAATGGTGGATGCTAACTCTGCATTTATGGCAGAAAGCCTGGGCTTGCTGGAGGCCCTAGATAATAGAGACCTGTGGTGGGGAGGTAATCTGATTATTGAGATGGATTGCCAGGATTTATACTATAGGGTACGAAGGAAAGAAGCCAAGGGTTGTGAATGGTCTTGTGAGGATATTGTGATGAAATGCATTGGCTTGCTGCAGACTTCACATTTTGAGAATGTGGAAGTGTCTCTGGTAGCAAGGAGTGGGAATTGTGCTGCTGATTGGCTGGCAGCTCAAATTATGAGGGGATTGGTACCGCAAGGATGGTTGTCAAAACCACCAACCTCTCTGACTGAGTTGCTGAGGAAGGATTTGGAACCTAGGGAGCCTGCAGTGGAGTTTAGGACTGGTATAGGCTAAGTTTCTAGTTCTATTTTCGTTCTTTGCTGTATTTGCTTTTCTGGTTAGCTTTCTGTGTGGTAGGTTGTATCTTAGGCTTTTTTGAGTGTTTTCTCTTGGCTTCGGCTATTGGTGTTTGTATCCTTTTTTGCTTATTAATAAAATTGACTGTTTTGACCAAAAAAAAAAAAATCTTTATCTTAATGAAGTTTTAAATGTTCTGCATCTAGATGAATATTTAAATGCATAGTGTTTGCCATTATATATAAAGATAATAGGATTTAACTTTTTAGTTAATTTCTAATTGCTAATCTATATTCCATAACTGCTGGCCAAAAATCTATCTTGTATAATTCTATTATTATTATATAGATTCAGTATCTCTTGAAATTGAAGTATTGTGATCATGTGATCTTTTAAATATGATATATATTTTATCAAAAAGTTACATTACATCTATGCAAATTAATATAATATTATTAACGATTTCCTATCATTATTTTCTCCAATCAAATTAGATTTTAATTCTAATTTTATAAGGTAGAAACTATATAAAAGGAAAGATTACGGCTCTAATTATATACTTTTGAGTTTTGAGTTTCATTCCTATGATTCTGAGTTTAAAAATTAATTTTATCAACTACTTTTTGTGAACGGTAAAATATTTTCAAGCTTTACCCTATATATTGATTGGCCATATATCTATATATATATATATATATATATATTAATTGATATTATTTTGCCAATCATATATTGATGACATTGATAATTTATACTGAGGATTTTAAAGTGGCATGGCAGTAGCTAATTAATTAATTTCCAAACCTGCCCTTTTTTAACTTTTATCAATAATAATTGTTATCTCAATTACACTTGTTTGTTATCCCTTAATAACTTACATAACAATCCAAAACAATTGTATAAATCAATTCATCATGTTATGCTATTTTCCGGGTGACTATTTTTGGTTTGGGTGCAAGTTTATTGTCTTGAATGAAATAACGAAAGAAAAAACAATTTTTACACCCTCACCGTCCTTAAAGTCTTAAAAGCTCACTGTTTCACAAGGATTCAAGATAGAAATTATCAATAGACTTATATTCAGATATTCTTTCAGTCCTTAATATGAGACTTATTTAGCTAATTTGATTAGATTAAGAAAGTTAGGTAAATTAGTTAATTACAAAAAAATGACATGTTTTTCCTAAAATACCATAATCATCTTCCTTAATATCCTCTTTCATTTTTCTACTAGATTATATTTGAAGGAGTATCCATAAGGATAATTTGGGAAAAATTGATAAATATGATAAATAGGTCTTATATATAGGACTAAAATTAACTCAACAATTAGGTCCTATATTAAGGATCGGAGGAGTACTACAATATGTTAAATTTATTTATTTCATTTGAGTTGAGATTGTAAAACATAAAATTTGCTATAAGAAAATTTGTTCTCCAACCTCTACGTATCTGTTCCATTTTCATTCATCCATCAACATAATTCCTAATGATGTCCGTGTAGTAAAAAAAAAAAAAAAAGGGAAAAAGACAAAAACTTTTAGCTATGTTTGCCAAGCAGCTCGAATTAATTTAGTTATATGATTTATAGTTTCAGTTTATATTAATTACCTCTATTCTTTAGTATAAAAGCAAGTGAAACGATTTTTTTGTTTTGAATATATTTAAAAACTCAATCCTCTTTCCTTTCAAATTAACAATTTTGTTCCTAAATTCTTCCTATCAATTGCATGCATTAAGAAATTTTTTCATTAAGAAAATAGTTTTTAATGAAAATAATTAAAATTGTTAGTTAACGGTTAGTTATCCTAGCGGTAACGCTATCACCTCCTTGACAATTTTATGTAGACAAGCTGTTGCAACTAAAATCAATAGTCGTTTTATCCCTTCTTTTTTGATTGCGGTATATGTTCCTTTGGTTCTCATTCACAACTAACAAGTATATTGTAATTTCGACTGTAAAAATATGGATATTTAGAAAAAAGCTAATAGAATACAAATCTAGAATCACTCATCAATATAATGTTCTAACAAGATTTATATTTATGATTGCTTGATATATAAGTAAATTTCAAATTGAACCTCTATCTATACATCCCTAATGGAAGTCAACCAATTAATACTTGTTGCAAATAGCAAAATCCTGGGGGAAATACTATTTTGAATGTTCAGAGTGGCAGAGACGAGCAACCTCATATTATGAATAGGTCAAATGTAGGCCCCAAAAAAGGCATCTGGTACTGAAAATCTACCCTTCATCATTCTATGTAACATAGAGAGAGAGCATCAAAACTTGTCATTAATCTAAACTGATAAGAATTAATTTCAACAAAAAAAAATGAACAAAAATAAATTTGCATTGTAACAAATATCCTTTATAGGATCATCAAGATTCTTCAAAGTAAATGTTGCCAATTGGAACAAGACTTTCAACATAATTGAAAACATTACCATGGCGAAATCCAGGGATAGCAAGCATCTTAGTCTCATTAGTGATATTGATCAAATGTAACTGACCAAAGTTTTCTTGGTCTGTCTTCATTATACCACTTTTATTCACAAGTCTATATTTTTCAAAACAACCAATGAAAATTTCATTCTTCCAAATGATTTCAGGAAATTTTAGAGCTTGTTTGGTTTCTTGTTTTGAAAACAATTTTTTGTTTTTAAAAACAGAAAAAAAAAAAAAAACTTGTTTGGTAACTTATTTTTAGTTGATTGTTTTAAAAAACAAAAAAATAGTAACATGTTTTTAAAAACTTAAAAACCAAAACAACTTTTACATGCTTTCTTGTTTTTGTTTTTGTGTTTTTTTATTTTTTGATTTGAAAAATTTTTAAAAATTTTCTTTTCTTCTTACTTACTATCTACTCCTCCGGTCCTAATTATAAGACCCAATTGACTTATTTGAGGAGATTAAGGAAGTAAGTTAAGTTGGTTATTTATAATAAATAAGTGTTGTCATTCCTAAAATATTCTTGCTAATTAAGTATATTGGCTAAAACTATCATTATTAGAAGGATTATCTTGGAAAAAATGTATAAATATAAGAGAGAAAATGGATTGGGTCTTATAATTAGGACCAAATAAAAAGTCAAATTGGGTCTTATAATAAGGACCGGAGGAGTACTATTTATCAATACCAATGGCAACTATCACTTACCAAATGTGATTTTTTATCGCTTTTTCTTGTAAACATGATTTTTTAAAATTATTATTCAAACAAATGCTTTTGTTTTTTGTTTTCAAAAATAGTTTTAAAAAACAATTTTACAAAATTGTTTTGAGAACAAGAAAACAAAAAACAAAAACAAACAGCCCTTAATGTGCATGGGAAGGGCTTGCAACTAGATTTTTTAGTCCAACTCCATCTCTCCGCACTTGAACTTACGCTCTCCTCTAACACTCACAAATCAATCAAACAGCTAGAGAGAGAAAGTATAGCAACTTTGTCGTCATGCACAGTCAATTTAACATCACTTGAAATTTACGCAGATATAGGAGGCCATTGTATCAATGTAAAAACTCCCATATATAGCCAAACGTGGAGCGAACCCACTTAGGAAGTTTACGAGTTTTGGTTATAGGGATCTGTCTGATCTCTCCAGTAGCAGGATTCATTACAACACAGAGCAGGCCATTGCAGGAACCGATGATTGTAGCGCCGAGCGAGGAACCGATCAAAGGTGAAATTTAATTTTATTTTGGCCCACCTAAAGGTTTTTAGTTTCTAGAATGTTTTTGGTCCATGAAACAATGACCAAAATGAAAATGAGGTTAAATTTTAAAAACTAAGTCAAAGCGAGATCAAATTTATTGCAATTATAATTAACCTATAATCATTATTATAGAAGAAAACAGAAGAAAGTTGCTTAGTTGTTATTGATATTTTATACTACCTCCGATCCTAATTATAAGAGTCAGTTGACTAATTTGAGGAAATTAAGGAAGTAAGTTGAGTTAGCTATTTATCCTAAATAGGTGTTGTCTTTTCTAAAATATCCTTGTTAATCAAGCGTATTGACTAGAATTATAATTATTATTATGACTATCTTGGAAAAAAATTGAGTAAATATGAGAGACAAAATAGATTGGGGTCTTATATTTAGAACCAAAA